AGTGCTCGCCCTGTCCATCGTTACGCTCATTCAGCCAGCAAAACAAGTCACTCGCAATTAGACGTTTGCGAAGTTCGATGCTTATGATGTCAATGACAGGACTGTCTGTTATAAACTAAATTATTTACAAACCGCCATCATATTTAAGCAGGAATATCGATTCTCTGGCCGCCTGAAAAAGGCCTTTGGCGATGATAGGTTTGAACTATGGGACCTATGGGCAACTCAAATGAAGATACATGTGCAATGTCAATTGTTCAAAATATGGTCTTCTTTTCTTCTTTTTTTATCCCCTTAAACGATATGAATAATGAGACGGAGACATTTCTTGCTATATTTTTATATACGTCGTGGTAACTCAAATTTACGTACGCTTCAGTGACTATTGAACACCTTGGACACTTCTTTCGCTTTACATAGTCTTCCACTCACATGATGTTTTCAGTGTTTTTTTGCAGCATATTCATGATATATTCTCGGAAATGAGTCGAAATCCTCGATCCTGTCGTATATCTGAGGCAGGTGTTGTTTTGTATCACTCAAGTTCATTTTCACTAACGTCTGAAATGTCTATCCTCGGTGTCTGATTTACGTTAGGTTTAAAAATGACGCGGACGCGATTCCAATCATGAACATAACGATATACTTTGTTAAAATGTTAAACTTTAATTTTATTATTGGGATTTTTTAGTGTTTCCTGCGTTTCAGCAAGTCGGACTTATTTGGAAATAAGGGTTAGGTATATTTCCTGAACATTTATAACGATACAATTCATTATATATATTAAATTTTGTACACACATCAGACCAGCTCAAATGATGATGTTATACAGTAAATGAAACAAGTGAATGTTTGCTTCTCTAAGAGGCATGCCGGACATTATGTTCAAATGAGAGAAAGGTTCATCTCCGGGGCGTAACCCATTCACTCATCAATATATTATGTGAAATTTGCGTAAATGTCAACTTTTCGTTTTAACCAATACAGTTGGACTTTGTTCAAATGTGGGTTGAGTTCGCTACCCAAACATAAAGCCAATAAACTGTTCAGTGTTTTCACACTATATACGTCAAACAACCGACCAAGTGAGGCCTTCAGCTATTCTGGAACTGACAATGGTTGTTGTGCTTCCCTGGCAGAGACAGTCTGTCATACAGACCCTGAAACAAATATATCCAAGAAAGCCCATGCAAGTCTAGCATATGTGGCAAGTCTACATTACCGTAGTTCATCATAGTTTATGATTATAATTTAGGAACCGTTTTTTTCTGTGAAATATGCTCATTTCAGAGACTATATGTTAGTCTAAGCAGAGAGCATATATTTATATGGTCTATGGTTTGAGAATATTTCAACTGAATGTATGGCTTGCGTCATGTGCGTACTTTAAGTGGCTGTATTTCTCCAAGAAATGTAAGATGAATTATATCACACATTGTGTTAACGCTGTATGAAAAGTACGTCGCAATCCAAAAACTTGCGTAGCTGTGTTCCAAACATTTTTCAACATAATTACGCTGATGTCTAGATGCGGCCACAGATTTCGATGCTTGCAGGACTATAGTTTTATGAGCACCACGACACACTGTCGGGGTACGAGGGCATAGAAAACAAACAATTTAGAGAACATGTGTGACAATGTGTGTAGCACACCTGGGACAATGTGTGTAGCACACCTGGGACAATTCCAATGTTCGAGCAGTAAGAGGCCATCTGCAACCAGCGCAATAGACTAATGCTTAGTCCCTGAATATATATAATTATGATAGTAACAAACAAACAAACTAGTTTAAATTGAAAAGGAGCCCTAGGGAGACCAGAAATAGGAAATCTAGCTTGCTTCATTTAGAGCTTTATGCATTGCAGAGAGTGGCAGGCAGTAGGGAAAATAATTAGGTTCAGGGACTGTGAGACAGACCACCAACACAACAACACTGCTAAACTGAGAACTTATTGCCTTTTCAATAGTATATACGGTACAGAATATCTGAAACAGACACATATTATGATTAGTACTGTAGTGCCAATTTGATCACGTTTAGATGTGACGTCTTGACTGGAGACCGGGAGATTCAACATACGGGTAGTTTACGAGTCTAACCAGCCTACACTAACAACGAAGACTGAGAGGAAAAACATGTGGTTTTATCATGCCCGTTTCTTTGACTTATTACTCCTATCCTTGTTCACTCTTACATCAACATCCTCGATCATCTCCAGGGTATACGTTCCGATAAATCTCCACTTGTGTTCATAAAACAATATGGACAAAATATTTCGTATACAATTGATATAACATCTCGATAATCTCCAGGGTATACGTTCCGATAAATCTCCACTAGTGTTCATAAAACAATATGGACACGATATTTCGTAAACAGGTTATGTAACACCCTCGATAGTCTCAAGTGGAGAACAATGTCTCATTAACAGATTGTGTGTAATTTTCTGATTTCATGACATTTTATAATTTACTTGCATATTCTTTACTAATCTATTTAACACGCGGTGTGAATTTAACACACTGTCTGTATGTCTGCAATATAACAAGTCGGACCACCCCATTAACAAACTCACATCTTACTAGACGTTTCTTTGAGATATATTCTAGCCGGATGTCTGAAATATACTGGATGTCTGTTCCACACAGAAGTGGTTCAGTCAACCTCCTGTTTTTTTTAAGGAAACACATTCATGGTTATCTTCAAGCTGCAATTAGCACCACGGTGTATTTACAGCTTCACGTTGTAAGAAATGAAGTCCAAAGTTTAATTTTTCGTGCGTCACGTCTCGCACTTTACTCTTTTATTCTGGAACAGTGCCACATAGTAAGACAAGGAAGATAACTGATAACTCTTCAGAGGGACTGGGATATTGTTTTATCAACATCATAGTATGCTGAAGATAAATTATCGCGCCGAAACTCTCCTAATAATAAAACAAACGAACAGAAGACAAAGGATGTGAATATATGGACCCTAGATACAGCCTGTGACGTAAGGAGTTTGAGATGATCCCTCAGCGTGCAACCGGGACCATCTGTTATCAACAAGGGTTATCAGCTGACTATGGGATAACATATGGGCGTGGAAACAACGGCGGTGGTAAATAGTCCAGAGGTCCATGGATCTCTGAGAACAACAAAAATACAATTTAAATGAGTTTACGTTTTCACACCATACGTGTAAACTACGTCATCGCAGAGTGTGTGAGGTGAAAATGAAATCTAAATATACTTGTCTTCAAGTGGGTAGGTGTTAACACGAATATGTTACGAATACACAACTGATCATCAACAAAGCCGTCCTTGTGTAAGAAAACCTAAAGTATATCCACACGTACAACAGTGTAGGCAGAAATTATTCTATTTTGGAGTTTTGCCTACATGATATTGTTACATGAAACACATTTGGCCACATTTTCAACACTGTTTCGGTCGATATCGACTGCCGTATTCGTCATTAAAATTGCAGGGCTTGATAACCAGTACGACAGATGAACAGAGTATAAACATTTGCCTCATTCCAGAGTCCCTTTCATAACCTTTATGTCCTCATTACGTCGTAAATCAATGCATGCTAAATGTCAGCGTGCTGCTCACACAATCATGTCGCGGAGCCAGTTGTTGGGATGAGCATAGACAAGTTGTTCTGAACATGTGTACTGAACATTGAAAACTACAATCACAACTCCGCATACCGACATGAACATTACAAAACAACAAATCCTCCGCTACCCTTGATTAACGTTGAGTCTCTTATAATATATCACTTTGACTATATATACAATGGAAAGAGTGAGTTAAAATTAACGCCATCTCGGCAATATTTCAGCCATATCATGACGAGAATTTGAATATATTGAAACCTCTCATCGATGGACAGTATGATAACTAGATTATCACAGGTATAAGTTAAAACTAGTTGATAGCATTTAAAAGAATAGATAATAAACAACAAAACATTGTAAAAATGGGTTATAGATCGCCAGCAACAGAAACCAATCGAAAGGAGCCCTAGTTAGATGAACCCGAGTAGCATCTAGACCTATACTCTTGAAGTTACAAAAGCAAATATACCATTTGCAACGATTTCATACCACGTCTCATATATATTACACTTAATGAGTCTGAATCAATTTACACGTATAATCAAAGAATATCTTCATGGCCATGAAGACCTGTCTTGCACGTGAATAGAACAATCAAGTTAAAACTGACTGCAGCAGGACTGATAGGCGCATATTGTAACATGGACAAACGTCTTCTATTCTCCCTGGTTATAAACAGGTCACTAGACTAACGCTTAGTCTCAGAAAATATATACTTTATTAAAAAAAAGTTCGCACAGATGTTTGAAGAATAGGCCATCGGCTCACAGGCCTCGTCTCACCCTCTGCTCGGTAATTAAGCGTTGGCAGATGCTGATGTTACAAAGCGTCTGACCATTGAGGTAGCGTTTGTAGCGACCAGAACTGGGATACGACGTTGGTCCAGTCAGCCATGACAGTTTGATATGTTTACCCTGTAAACTGACCCTTGAAGATAATAATAGACCGTGAACCTGAGGAAATCTTGACTTACTTTATTTAGAGCGTTTGTATTATTGGCATTGTTGGTTCGAAGAGAAAACAATATGTTGAGGTACGGCAGGTAAATCCTAACGCGCCATTCGGTATCCCGATTTCCACAACATACTTCTTTACTTACTGAAATTAGTGTGAAACACAGTCCCGGTACATTAGACTGTGTCATATATATAAGCGACGAAGATATGCTTTTAAAGGGAAACCGATTGACTCGGCAGAAAAGCTCTTCATCTCTGCCCCACACTATCTGTAACGAAGCGTACGTACTCCGGACAGAGGCATCCCCACTGTACGCCATTCACCACACGGCGTCTACATTACCAGACCGCTCCCGTGAAATGCTTCCCTTGAAACGTGTCGCCATGTCATCCGTGACCAATAAACGCCCCGTGTGGTGAATCATTCGTGGCACAGTGTCGTTCTGGTGAAATTCCTGTAAGTGGAGAAATTTTGGTCACGCACGTGGGCTGCGTCAAACCTTTGTTTACAATGACCATGTGACCAAAGACAGACCAATCAGAGCGAGGCAAGTGACCTTCTTGGATAAATCAAAAAATGGCGCACATGGAGTCTACCGAGCCGGGTGAAATGAAGAAAGCAGAGCTACTTCTGCCTGGTAGCGGTGAAGGTGACGAAATAGGAGAAGAAATGAAGAAAAGCGGCTCCCGGTTTCAGGTGGCCCGTGTGGACTGTGTAAATGAAACAAAATTTGAAGAACCACCAAAGGATACTAAAAGCAATGTGCATGATAAGGGACCGGAATCGCCATCAGCCACCTTCTCTCTTAGTGGCGATTCCTTCCGGAGTTATTCAGATACCAATAATTTGAAAACTTTTGCGATGAATACTCATGAGGCTCTGCCATGTGTTGACCATTACAGAAACATACTGTCGGCGACAGGAGGAATGAAATCGCGACCAACTCTAGCCCAGTTGCACGAGGAAATGGTGAGTCACTCCTCGCGCTATCCTCGTGGTTAGATTGTTTTGTTGACAACCAACTTAAAAGCAAGTTTGACAGTTTTTAGGTTTAACATGCGACTGAAGATGTGCCATTTAGTGTTCAGTGTTGTGGGGTATGCGTGTAATAACAATAGAGTTGAGAAACACCTCCGTTGTTCGATTGTTTACAATGTGCCGTGTACTGTCATTTCACGTGTTTCCGGCGAGGGTGGCGTCTGCTCTTCCGGTTTGCAATGCACTTCATGCTTAGAAAGTTACTAGTTGTACATCGTAGGAATAACTGGGTTTAAGAAACTTGGTCGTATAGACACGTTTTTTACAGAAACAAAATCCCCTTGTAGGTACGGTATTTATAACATTGATACAGATAACTGATAATTACTCGGTGATTCAGTACTCCAGCACATTTGCATACTTGTACAACTATTGTAGCCCATGGCCTGTAACTAGATTAGAATGAGAAGTCTTGGGGGCGTATGATTTTCTTTCACAAACAGATTATAAACTTAAGGTGTGTCATTTGGATAGTTTATGGAAAACAATATGTCATAACTGATAACATGTTAAAATTTGCAGTTAAATATTCAGATATGTGAATGTTTAATTCTCAGTCACAGGTACAGTTACAACTGGAACTGACTTAAAGAGAACAGTAGCCACCTCGATCAATAGCCAGTAATCCAGATTAAAAGTTTAAATGATAGGGAACATTTCCACTGTAGAAAATATAAGAAAGACCTTTTAACATGTATGTTTAACAACTTTAATACTGTTGTCAATACAGCATTTTAAGTCAAGTCAAGTTTAAGTTTGAGTTGTAAATAGATCATGTGCAAAGGATCTAAGCCTGTTATATTCTCTTCAAAAGGACCTTATTTATCTTAGATTTTGTACAATGTATACTTAACAGGCTTAATTGCGTTGTAATTGTAAAAAACACTAGTAAATGACTGTATAATATATGCTTCCCTACACACCTTGTACGTCCCTCACTGATAACAGTGTTAGAATCTACACTGAACCATTGCTCATTGTAATAAAGAAGTTCATCTATATATATTATTGTTACTTAATCATATATAGCAACAGCATTAGAAACTGGTACTGGCATGACATCACATGCAGCCAGGGTAATTGTTCACAGTTGTCATAGTGTCATTGTTTCAACTCACAGTATGCATGGTAGACATGAGTAGAAGCTAGAAATGTTGAAGTTTTTCAACATGACAAATCATCATTATAATCTGATATCTTAAATTCGTCACACTGGTAGATTAATGCAGTGATTTTACTGGAAAAAACCCCATCAGGACATTAGTATGATTTTATTTAGTTTTGAAGGGATATTTTGCTCTTATTTTTTTATCCAAATTTGAAAAAAATTCTTAAGGACATTTTGGATGAAATCAACTGTGGTCTGAATATTCTCGGAATTGAACCAATCACAAACCCTGTCAAAGACGTTCAGTACCCTTGTTCCTTACTCATTATCGTGCTCATTTTGTTTCACTGTGGTGTCCCCAGTCCCATTCTTGGGGAGAATAGGTTGCCCCCCAGTTCAATATCCTATATGGTGCAATGTGTGACTGAAAGTGTGAATGGGTTGTTAGAACATCTGTGGGGCGTGAATGGTAATTGGTTGACCATCTGGAAAGATCAGTTCTCAGCTATTACCAGAGGGGATCATGTGATGGACTCTACTGGTGTACTACAACGTAATGTGAATAATAGTGCGATGGTATTGTGCACCAGTTTCTTAGAACACTGAAACATGCAGAAGAATAATGTATTTGTGTAGATTGCGTCTTTAACAGTGTTTAAGGTCACAAATCACAACCTAGTTTTTTTTTATATTTGTGGGTGTATGTGGATGGGAAGTAGTTTCACTAAGATCTTCTGAAAAGTCTTAAGATCTCTAGGCTTATTCAAGGAGATGATAGATCACTGAGATTGAGAGCAGCTTACGCAGATTCATTGACCCCAGCATCCCTGTTGCTTGACTGACATCATAGTGCATTGTTTCGCAGGATTACCTGGCTCCAAATTTTCATAATTTGCATCATAGAATATTGTGAAATGTTTGTTAACTTTATGGTGCTGAATTCGAAGGTTTGGCATTTGTGTTGTATAAATAATTCAGTTATTTGAGGGTCCCATTGGACTCATACTCTTAATTTTCAGGGGGTCCTGGACAACAAAATGGGGATCCCAGACACTTAAATGTTATTATTAATACTCTTATTGTATTGTGTATCATGATCATCACATTGTTACAGTAATGAAATTCAAAATACCATAACCCAGCTAGTAGCAAACTCAGTGATAACTTCTTGTCACTTGATTGAAAGTTTTACAAAATGTAGTCCCTATGGACGCGTTAATAAATTTTGTTGCGTCCATTGTCAATTTTTATGCGTATAGGACGCAGGAATTTGCGCCTTGTAAATCCCTGAGTTCTATTAATAATTTGATTTAAACATATTCCCAATGAAAAGAACTGGATTGGTAAACAAGCATAAACTTATATGAATACCGCGTAAATTATGCTATTGTATTCAAAATATTAACCCACATTATGACAGAAAGCCCCCTGGGTCAATCCAATGAGGTCTTAAAAAGTTATGAAAGGTAAGTAATAAAAGAAATACAATGTTCCCGTTTTGTAAATTGATATTTTGTTAAACAAGAGAAGAATTAGCAGCTTAAACATTTCAATTTAGTAAAAACTCAAAATTGAGCTTGTTTGTGTTGTCATGAATTATTCAATTGTCACTAGAAATCAAGCACACCTATTCTGCACTGTTAGAAATTAAGGAGATCTTGGTGTGTTCCTATTATAAAGTGTATTTGAATTTGGTGACTCCTTGAGTTTCATGCATGATGTGCATGGATTTTGTACCAAACAGTTGTCTGATCGGTGCTGACACACATGGGTTTGTGCTGTATACAGAAGTGCCTCTGGCCATAGAACTGCCTACTAAGGCAAGCTAAGAATGTAGTCTATTTGTAGAAACATGTAGACACAGCCTACATATGTTGTGACATGAAAAGTCCTTGCTTTCCATGTCACGTTGTGTTAATTTGTTTTCATGTTTTGGCATCGTCATAATGATATGTTTTAAAAAGCCAGGAACATGGATATTTAGCATGGTTTTGCTCTTTAAACATTCCAGAAGGGTCACTGTGACATTAACATGATTGATGTCTTAGTTTAAATTTGAAGATCTTTCAGGTCAAACACAGAATACCTCAGGATTCCTCCACATTCATGTCATTGTTAACGTAAATTAATTAAGTCCCAGCATGACATCTCACATGTCTTACCTTTGCTTCACCTGGAATGAAATCATTTACTCATAACATCACATGAACACACTCAGTCATAGGTGAAGCAGCAATATATTTCTAAATAATTGAAAAGCTGAACCAAACAGCGAGTATGACTGAATGTGAGCTTCAACCTACAGGTATCGATCTGTGACCTGATTGCTGTGACAGATGATCCTGGGAGAAGGACAATAGGTCAGCTGTATTGATCTGCTGTTGTCATGATTATTGTTAGTAAATGATCTGTCTTCAGGCTGTTTCTTGCCTTCGCCTAGTGCCTAATGTCAATATCTTGAAAACCAAATGCATTGTTTAGTGGAAAGTAATTCTAGTTTTGTGTCTGGTCATGGCATTCATGATGGCACTTTTGTTAAGTTAGGCAAGGCAGTGCTTTCTTTCATGTTCTAGGTTTATTTCTACAGACTTCAAGGAGACTAGTACCAGTAGCGTGCATTGCTAAGCATTGCTGAAGACAGTTTGAAATTAATATACATCTGGTAGTCGGGTGTCAAAATTCAAGGGTAGTGACATTCCTTGTGGACTAAGTGTTTCCAATAAACCACTCAATAAAACACAATTAAATTCTCATCCTGAACATGCTGTTGAAGTATTTTAGTATACTTTTCCAAAGCAAAGTTTCCAGATTTGACCATCAATATCAATCAATCATGCTGTCAACACTGGTGATTTTTTGTTTTCTCTCCACATAACTCATACTTCTGATCACTGCGTGAAATTCCACTCACTCAATTGCTACTTCTATGTTTGAACTTGCAAGATCAGCCTACAGGGGAAAGAGAACACAGAAATGTCAAGATGAACAGAGGACATGGCCAGTTTTTGAGAATGAAGGGTCTGACAGGCAGAAAGGTATAGAGGTCCTTATGCATCAGCTCCAAGTCCACTTTGCTCCCTTCACTGCTGAATGTCTTGGATTATTGTCACCAAATGAGTCTGTAAAGGCATGATGTAGGTTTAGACATATGGTTAATGACAGGAAGTCACATGCTATTGATTTCAGCTATTTGCTGGTCGATAATCTATCTGCTGTCTTGAAGTGGAGTCTTTCCTCACATTCAACTCAAAATAGTTCTGCCTCTGGTTGCGAACTGCAGAAATAGCTCTGCTGCCAAGACGTTGAGGTGTGTTTTCTATAGGGTAGCTGGCAATGCTAGCTTTGATAATATATCTGGACTTATGCACATTGCTTATTACTGTTTCAAAATCAAGGTTATGGTTTTATTCAGCTGTTTACTTTTTGTTCTTATCTGGAAAGAGTCATGATTACAAAATGTACGTGAAATCGGCTTTGTTAAGTCTTGAACAAGCAGGAATGCTGAACCATATTCCTATTTTAGCAACTCTTATTGATAGACACATTGATGGATCACTGTTTAGCTGAAACCAGGATGCCAGAGATGGAAGTTATTCAGATTCAAAGCCATGGTAACAGTTTGCAATGATTAGGTTAGCATCAAAGAGCATCCTGGGCAGTTCTGATTTTAAGTGTAGGGGTCCTAGGACAGCAATCGCTTCCTAAATCATCAATTAGCCACAGACTCGTGAAAATTGTCAAGAACCAAATGTTGATGAATATTTAGAACTCTGTTCCAATGATGTTCCAGTCACCTGGTTGTAGTTTTTATCATTTTTTTTAA